TAACTTAGACCAGTTTCATATGCTCGATCTTCTGTGATATAGGGATTTACAAGCTGTGTGAGATTCAGAACAGCGATATGTTTATTAATTTGGGTGTTGTAAGTTGGCATGTGTTGAATAGAACGTATTGTCTGAGGTAATTTGTTTCATAAAGAGGCATTCTTTACCAGAAAACATTGTGATCTCATGACCACTCTGGATAAGGAAGTATTGACCATTTGGTATCCATGTCTAAGATGATAATGTACGTCAGTAATATCTTTACTTTGCGGAACTGATTCGGGAGTCCTATTTTTATGAGTGTATGGAAAAGGATCAGATTCAGCCTCATTCGTCTAAGTCATAGTGGATCGATATGAAGATTCTCCTGGCGCTGTTTATAACTCAGTTGACACGAACTCTCGATAAGCCTTTTTGTCATGAACCGTTGGACATTTTCTACCGCCACTCTATCGCTTTGTCACATGTTAGAACAGATTATTGAGCAATATTCTAACAATGGTCGTATGTGGGTCTTACAAACAACCAATATGTTTCTCTTTAGTTGAAAGGACCTATGAAGCATACCTACGACTCGTCTAGCTTTGGCAATCTGAACCGATGTATGTTCAGAAAAGGTTAAGGAACATGAATACGCAAACCTATGTCTCTTAACAATGGGTTAGTTGGTATCGTTATAGCATCTAAGTTGAATGTACCTGGAGGAATAGTGCATTTAAAAGTAAGGACATTGCTTTTCTCCGCAGAAAACTTCATTAATCTCTCCAAGCTCCAGAAAATTATCGCACTCAAGTATTCAATTATGTCCGCTATGACTGAGTTTAGCTTCCTGGGATCAAAAGAATATACCATTTTATTGTCGTCTGCAAACAAAAAGAGGGTGCCGTGACGGACAAAATTAAATACTTTATTAATAATAATAATAATAATAATAATAATAATATTAATATAGATCCAATAAGGAGAGAACCAAGAACGCTGCTTTGATTGAGTCTCTAGCGGTTCTTCAATCGACAGTTTTGCAACGGTAGTTTTCTCTTCTTGCGTCTTGTTCTTCTCTAAGTTTCCTGACAGACCCATTCAAGCTGGTAGTGATAATCAAATTACAGATCAGTGGCAACTTCACCCTACGCTGGTGAATAGCATCAGAACAGGTTCAGCTTCCAATCAGTCCTTTATAATTAAGGACTATCAGGAAATGGTTATATAAACAAGGCATATTTATCAGAACCATCAAGGTTCACATATCAAGTGTTGACTTAGTCTATCGATCAGGTAGATTAAGTACAAAAGCTAGACTACCGCTAATCTCTTCCTTCTAGCATAAGGACCCTTCTTATTTACCGGGCATAATCAAGTGTACCATCGAGATTTAGCAAGTATCGCCATTATTTGGGGACAGATCTTCTAGAGAACTTTCATTCACTAGATATAGCAACTTGGACGCTTCCAGAATCAAGTTTGCTTTAACTATTATCGCGCTTTTCTTGAGCTCGAAAAGACCGCACCGGCACAATTCCCCACATTGAGCTCTGTATCGCACACTTTCCTTGCATTGATCAGATCAACTTTCAGGTTTCCGCCGCTGTTGCTTAAATAACAGCCTAAGCGTAGCCAAACTACTTCCAACATTTCGAAAGTTTCAGAATATATCATTTTTACAACCCAATCCTTGGTTCTGTTTAATTTTTGGACGGATATCCAAAACGAACGTGAACCAACACTAGTGACAGGTTCTGACGAACATCAGCAACCACCGAGTCACTAAAACTCTACTCGTGAGGTTTGGGGCTTGGATATGAGTAATTGATTGGCGATACCATAGGATTTGGCCTGACATGCAAGCCTCTTATGGGACAACTAATTAAGAGCCTTTTCACGTCCAAGAGTAGCATAATCATAGACCTACCTCTATCGGCCGCTGCAGTGACAATGTTCAAATTGTCGACCTGACGTGTTGCACAAGAACGATTTATAAGAAATCCGTGTTGTCCTGTATTATTATGCGTTCGGAGCGGTCTCTCTGCAACTTTGTTCTAGTTTTGCTTTCAGAAGGACAGCATATTTATACGGCCACAATTATCCTTCCTCGATAACCGATGGAAATGGAAGCCGTTTTCATGTGAACTTCTTTAGCCCCATATACGTTAAGCAAGGGTGGTCGGAAAAAAAGCGATATTGGTTTTTAATGGCCTGCTTAAATATCTGGGTAGTATATATTGAAGTGACCCATTCTCTCTCATCCGACGGCTTTTGCAAGCCTTCCTTTGCTTCATATCACGACGAGGAAGACCGAAAATTGTTTCTAGCGACAACGAATCTAACTTAAGAGGCGCTTATAACAAACTTCTTGCGGGTGTCCGTCTTTTCTCAGATGCAAAAACCAAGGTATCTATGTTGGAGAGAGAGATTGGCGTTTTGGTCCTCCGGAGACTAGTCATCGGGGAGGTATAAGGGAAAGAATGATACGGTCCGTAAGGCGAATCTTGCACGCCACCACTTGCGGTCACAGCGTTACCGACGAAACTCTGTTGACTTTCGTCGTTGAAATAGAACAGATCCTGAATGACCACCCGTTAGTGCCACCGACTGATGCTGCCAAAGTCTTTGACGATTTACCTCCCAACAGGCTGTTATTACTTAGAGACAACCAAATATTTATGGATGTCTGTAACTTCCCAAATCATGCGTTAGGTTTTGGAGACGATTGCAAGTGTTAGCCAATACACTTTGAAAACGCTGGAAATCTGAATACTTGTATATACTGCGGGAAGGGGAGAAGTGGTTTGAGAGAACACTGGATCTTAAGCTTGTAGATCTTGAGTCGGTGTTGGACGAGAGATTTCACATGAATCAGTGGCCTTTGGGCATAGGTTGTGAAGTTGGTCCATGGTTGGATGGCTTAATCAGGGAAGTGCTGGTGTGAACATGTCGGAATGTTGTGAAATGGGATGTGAGAAAGCTGTGTCATTTGGAGGGTGTCAGTTAGGTTTGCANGCATAGTCTCGATTTGCTTACATGCCTGAAGCAGACCGCGCGACGAAGCACTCGTGTATATCCTTCGTAAAAAACTCTCCATTCATCTAATGGCACTCTATTTATTTTGTTTATTTATTTATTTGCCAGCTTTGGCATCGGTTTTTGGTACGACCCAGTTCGTCTACCAACGGTGCGAATCACTGTGACCATATATTTCCCCCTGGAGTTCACTGTAAGTAAAAGATTATTTGATGCCTAATACATGATGTATACTGACGACCGATTCGTCGTTAGATTTTACTGATGTCCAATGGTGCATAATATCTCTCGTCAGTTGTGTTTCCGACCGTTGCACGGAACGACATTTCTTATGAAATTAGAGTCAGCAATCGTATCACTAGTTTTTGCACCTGTATGTATCGTTGTCCATAATCATTGTAGTAAGTTCACTTTTGTTTTTCATAGCATGTATATCCACTTGTGTTCACTGGGACCCGAAGGAACTTCTGCATGCATGATCGAAAATAGCATAAACCGTTGTTCTTTCTTGTCAGCTATTAACGGCATTCGGTTTCCCGAATTAGCCTGGGGTACAAAACTGATTTTATCGTTAATCAAAAGGATCTTCATCGTCCATATGGCTCTTGTGAGTGATGCGTTAGGGACAATTCTATGCAAGTATATGCTGCTTTGTCATTCGCGTGCCGTAAAATTCGCGCTAGCTATTTTCGCCGATAAATATATCCATAACCATCACGTTCGTCATAGAGGAGTTATCAGGTGGGTAGGCGGAAAGCATTGAGCTTTCTGTGGGAAGTGTGACAGCAGACAATGCATTGTATTTTAAAACAAAGGTTTTCTACACATCTTCTTTATTACTGTTTGTTTCCTGTCATTTAAGGTCTTTGCTGAACTAACCTTGACTGCGTTACACCGATATTTTCCTCCGTGTGCTAAATTGGATTATTCTATTGTGGTTTTGTGAATTCAACTGGATCCATTCAATCAGAAATATCTCAAAAAGCGAGACTTCCAATAACAGGTGCGTATCCTGCTCCAGGATTGTGAGCCCCAAGGTCTGGGCGCTCCGTTGTGATTAGTGTGATGGGTGGCAGAACCTGAAATGCTCTTAAATCGACGCGGATAATTATGAAAGAGAGAGATAGAGAAATGTATCTCTCCATTCCTGAAGATCGTGTGCTACAGGTACTCGACCATTACTTCCAAGGAAGGCGAATCTTCACTTCCAAAAAACCTTCTAGCCCCATAACGCCGGCTACTTTGGTGAAAATGGCCCCTTAATTTGCAGATGTCACTTCCACTCAACTTACAAAAGTAGATCCTGCAGCGGCACCGAAGTAGAAGCAACCGAAAAAAGGCAGGGCTATTGTTTGCTGCATTTCCCCCACGGACAGACTCAGCTCCCTCGTCCATGACATTCAGGCAATATGCGTGTAGTCAATCACCGACAATTGATAGGTTCCCTAGCGATTTTCGGGAACCTATGCAGCAGAGGAAGCACCCTCTGAGATCGCAGTGCATTATTGTTGTCAATCTTTCGGAGGCTGAGGCCACCACCGCCAAGACCTGCAGCTGCTGAGGTTGCATATGGTCCTTGGTTGCAGGCAATGAGGTGGAAACAGTAGCATCAATCAGAGTAAAAGCGGCATTCCGGCTTGGAAAACCCGCCAGTATAATTCTCCACAGCCACTGAAAGCGGTTCTTTGGGCGGAAGGCGGAAGAACGCAAGGAGCGCCGTGCAAAAGGGAAAACTGATCTATGTATGCGCGATTTTCGCGTGCATCGTAAACGCTGTCAGCTGCGTTGGCTACCCTTAGTCGTGGAGAGGACTCAGGAGACTGTTTAACCACGGACGGAGGGATCATGTTGAGGAGCAAATGGCAAGTTAAACACCTTTAATCAATATCCAAGGGATTCTGGGAAAAGGGATGCATTGGAGGACGGGGTTGTATCACACAATCCCGAGCTTTTTGCAATCACTGAGACCTTGTTGACACCGGATGTCCGGGACTCCGAAATATCCCTTCAAGGGTACACAGTGCTACGAACGGATTGATCATCGTCATGTGGAGTTGATGGAGTTGTTCTTTTTGTTTACTCGGGTCTTCCTGTTTGAGTGTTGGAGAACTACGCCCATCTGGAAGGATTTGGAGAAGCTCTGTGGTGCAGAATCAAGCTTTGTGCCGGAGGGTATACCGCAGTTGGAGTGATCTATCGCACACCGAATGTTGACCAGCATACAGAGATACGCCTCCGATGGACATTGTCTTGTCTTGAGTGATTTCAGTGCGTCACATATGGATTGGAAAATTGAGATCTCCCCGTAGCACGCGTATTTGTTTTCCAGAGAGCTTCTTTTCACTGTCCGGGCTCTGTCACTTGTTCAGCATGTTCATGTGCCCATGCGATTAGTTGGAGATCAAAAATCCATCCTTGACTTGTTCTCATCGAGACAATCATACATGACTAGGATTGACCTCCTCCCATCAACTGCATCTAGTAATCACTCCGTTCTGTGTATACACTAGAGGCGTGGCGTTCCCCAAACGGACAGACCACAGGACAAACGGAATTTATGGCGCTCATCCTTTCGAAAAATGCTTCAAGCTGCCCCGCTCATAAGTTCGGACTCCCTAAACCCTGAGGATGTGGATGAATCCTGGAGACTGATTCGTCATGGAATCCCTCATCTCGTGCTAGAATACTCTCCACCCCACCGCCACCGAACACACGTTATGGGCCNCCCGCCGTAGTTTGATCAAGAACTGCGGGTCTGCCTCCGGCAGCGGAATAAAGCCTGGTCCAGGTACCGTACAAAAGGCGCAGGATATAAGGAATATCGAGGTATTCGGATTCATTGTAGTGCACTGAAAAAATGCAAGAGAACCGGATTTGAGGAACTACCAAAAGCGAAATCTGTACAGGCACCAAAGCAATTGTATGCCTACCTCAGGTGAAGAATCAGAGCACTCTAGTCAAAGATGGGGCACTAGCCGAAGAAGGTGGGGACAAAATGGAGATGTTGGTATCGCTCCGTGCCTCAATTTACACCAGAGACTCCAGCATATTAGCGCATGCACTGAGCACTAAGAATACTGTGAAATGGATTCCATTTACAATCGGCGAATTGGCCCTACAGCTGCGTCGGCTAAAGGTTCACCAGTTACCTGGACCTGATGGTGTGCATCCGATTATCCTGTGGGAGCAGGCAGATGAACTTGCAGGACAACTGTGCAACCTATTCGAATTGTCATTTACACAAGTGCGCTCACAACGGCAGTAAAAGGATGCTTTCATTATTCCACTACCCAAAAATTGGGGATTGGAGTGACCCTGGGAACTACCGAACACTCAGCCTTACTAGCGTTGTGAGTGAAGTAATGGAGCTTCGGCAGCACTTAGTGTGCCACGGTCACCTGTGCCACCAACAACAAGGTTTACGGACGGGTCGCTCATGCCTCTCAAACCTGCTTCTTGCACGTGAATGCTGGATCAAGGACAAGGCCAAAGGACACGAAACGGACATCATCTACGTGGACTTTAGTACGGCCTTCGACAAGGTGCCGCACGACCTCCTGCGAAAGCTGTCCAACCTGGGTGTAATTGTAATCATGCTGAAATGGGTACGAGACTTCCTCATCGATCGGAAATTCTGCGTCCGTGTTGGCAAATCGCTCTCTGCGTGATATTCCACTCCCGATGGGATTCCCCAAGGCTCGGTTCTTGGTCCATTGCTCTTTGTGGTATATGTGAAAGACCTTTCTGGTCAACTGTGCAGCCCATCCCTCATGTATGCGGATGTCATCAAAATCTGGCGTGCAATCTACGGTGCGGATGATCGAAAAACTCTTCAAGTGGATTTGAACAATCTGGATCAGTGGGCGGACACCTGAGCTCTTCCAGTCAACACAGCAAAGTGTGCTCACCTTCATTTTGAGCATGCTGACTCAGAGGGAACCACATTGCACAGAACATCGTGCGAACGAGACCTGGGTGTTATGGTTACGTCATCACTAAAGACCCGAGAAAACACCGATCGGGACTGTGCTAGCGCATGAAGCATTCTGGGTCCTATTCGGCGGTCTCTCAACCAGCTCACGATGGACGCTTTCAGGCTGCTGTACGCTTCCCATGTCAGACCAAGACTTGGATATGGTAGTGCGGCAACATACCTCTGCACGGTCGGTGAACTGGCTAAGTTGGAGCGTGTACAACGTGCTGCCACTAGACTCGTTGTTGGACAACGCGGGACCAGCTATGAAGGTCGTCTACAGGCTACTGGTCTGTTCCCAGTTGCGTATCGGCGCGTCAGGGGAGATTTCATCTGCCTGAGGAAGATCCTGAAAGGTGATATGGGCCCAGAGTTCCAACAGTACTTCCCTTTATGGATAAAGCACCGCCCTCTGGGGCACTGTCTCACGTCGCGGAAACTTCAGTCAGTTGGTCTTCCGTTAGTCTACTGACTCTCGCGTAGGTCAACAACACTCTGGAATTTCTTTCCAGCGATTGTGGTGAAAGAGAAGACTGACGCTGCTTTCGAACGGCGTCTGGATGAGCACCTGAAGGGGCTATGGAGGAACGAACAATGGTGATTGGACTTTCAACCCAGTGGTGATGGGGCTTACACAGGCATCCTGCCCTCCGTCCCCAAATCTGAAGACTCAAAACTGAAGACTGAACTACGGTGCATCAGCTGCCAATACACCCACTTCACAAAGCCAGTGGTTTTAGCGAATCCGCATGCCGAAGAAGACCGCAGAAGAATCCCACTCATGCGAGGATTACTGAGGACTGATTAGTTCCACCATCCCGGATGGTACCCGATGCCGCACATCCACCAGTTGACGGCTAATCTGAGGGTTAGTCGATGTTTAGTAAGATCGATTTAGTTAGGGCTTATAACCAGATACCTCTCTACCCGATGGATGTGTCTTAGACTGACGTCATCGCCTTGTTCGGTCTTTTTGAATTCTTTCGAATGCCGTTCGGATTACGTAATGCTGCCCAGACATTTCATCGTCCTATCGACGAGATCCTTTGGGGATTAGACTTTCTTTTTTCCGTATTTATTTGATATACTTATCGCAAGGAACGACGCCACCGAACACGATGTACACTTACGCACACACAGTAATACCGTTAAGTGCTAGGTCACTACATTGATCGTCAAGGATGCCGTCCGTTCGAAGACAAAATCGCGGCAATTCGCGCTTTCCCTCAACCGAATACTGCGACCGAACTCCGTTGTTTCCTACGAATGATCAACCTCTGTCAAAGGTCCATCCCACAATGCGCCCAGGTAGTTTATTCATTTACGGACTTGCTCATGGAAAACCCGAACGTTATCGACTTAAATACATCAGCACAACGGGCTTTCGATGCGATTAAATTAACAGTCTCCAACAATGTTTTACCGACACATCAGGATTCTGGTGCAAAGCTAAGTTTAGCAGTAGACGCGTCAGACATCGCGGGGGATGCATTCCTCCAACAGTAGAAAGACAGTGCCCGGCAACCTTTAGGTTTCTACTCACAACGTTTTTCAGACGCAGCCACTTGATATAGTACTTTCGGTCGCAAGCTTCTCGCCGCATACCTGGCTGCTCGTGATTTTATCATCTTTACTGACCATAAGCCACTTACACACGGTCTTAGGTCCTCTAGTGACAGATACTCTTCTCGAGAGATACGTCACTTGGACTACGTGTCGCAATTCACTACTGACATTCGACACGTTGCTGGTATGAATAATGTCATTGCCGATTTTGTTTTGACTTTGAACTTGAAACATGTCAGACGGTTCCAACATGTACCCAATGATGCTTGAAATCCAAAGATAGGCTTATGTAGAATATATGCCAGACCAGAATTTATCAACAAAATATATTACCAATCGTTTACACCGTGCAATGGACAGCATATCACTCTCCTTATTTACTGGGATACACACACATGTGTGTAAATCTCTCTAATGGTTTTGTGATACATGTAACCGGTGTACATACTAATAAAGTGAAATCCTTTCGGAGTCGTCTTAAACGACGCTTGAAAAACGTGATTGGATCAGTTGGCGATGTCATATGGGAACATTTGGATGAAGTACACTATCGAATGGGACTTGACTTTTCCATCCAAACGTTTACTCATGATATTAACACTTATATACAACATATTGCACAATTATATTCATGTTAAACTTCAGTACGATCTATTATACGTTTTCTTCATCATTATTCGGGAACTTTTCTGTGAAGTGGGGAACTGTTGTATACTACTCATGAGTAGTAGGTTTTTATTCACGCAAATGTATGCTTTTGGGGTGCCGGATGGTAACGTGTGCCTCTTCTTTAGCTTGGTTTCGAACCTACGTTTATATGAATACAACATCCAGTGAAGTTGGAAGTGTGTGATTTCAGTGCTACAGCGTCATTCGTAAGGTCCTTCTTGTCCAGATAATCTCGAACACAGACGAAAAGACTTGTGATTTTGGGGGAACAGTGTACTTCCCCTTAATTGGCTAGTCGTTGCCATGCAAGCAATAGTGTTCCCAGATTGCGACTCCAGTGCACTCAGCGCATACAAATGGCACATATTTTTCACACTTTTACACCGGCGGAAAGAGCAACCTTTAAGACCGGCAAATTTTGAAACCCATAATGACCAAACGATACCATAACACCATACCATACCATACACCAATCTAGCCTAAATATACCTATATATTACCCCCAATGTGCCTCATATTTTACAAGGTTATGCTCCATTCTAAAACGGAAGGCTACAAAACTATCCTAACTTAACCCTAGAAGGTAGTGTATACTACTTTACCAGGGAATACCCCCCTCTATAACATAGCTATTGACACTGAATTCACGGACACAATCCTAGGTAATGAAAAGTGCAATATTAAAACGGTTTATTTATCATTCAAAGAGGTAATAAACTGTAAAAACAGAAGTCTTCATTGTAGGGTGCTGACATATGTCCGGTCGGTGAAGTTCACGCGATATCAGAGATAAGTTCACTCCCGCAAACCATAAGGTAGCCAATAGTCTATTTAAGCTCATTGTTAAGACTTGGATGAGTGCAGTTCATTCGAGGGCAATGATAGCAAGGCAGCGGTAAACTTTTAAAGATCAAAATTGCTATTGTTAATAAGAAAATTTATTTGGTAATCGGAATGGACACGAATCATGTTTCGGTGTTCACAAATCCGGAATAGAAGTATTTATCTACTAAATTCTACCTTCAACAAAATGAAGGAAAACATCCACTGAAGTAACGATTATTTTATTGAAAGAAATTAATGGAACTGAATGATAAACACAAATAAATATCATTGAAAGAAACCAGGTCTTACCCAGGTAGCACAACATAGTGCACTATGTACATAGCGCAGCGATCGGCCACAAAGAGCTAATTATGAGTTACGTCAGCTACATTCGTTATTAAACAGTATTTCACCTTTAACATGCATTCATCATATTTGTTTTTGGTCTGATGACTAATTTTCATCCCTAGAAAAATTAAAAGCATCTGTATTTTAGAGTCAAACTTCCATGAATTTTGTTTTAATTATGGCGGGAAAAGATGGTTTGAGTGACTCTAATCGTATGCTAGATTGTCGTTGTCTGCTGCTGCACAGATGTTCTTATTTCTTAACGTCCATGGGATAATAAACTTTTGTGATATATTTTTTCATTGTTATTGTTTTCCGTTCCATCATCAAGTTTCTCCAGAATTATTTCAGTAATCATGCAAAAAACATGTAATTTTATTCAGCTTCTTAAAATGTCATCCATATCTCGTGGGACATTTGATCACATCCGAAAACAACGGATGCAACAGGTTAAGTGTCCTGTTTCTGGCGAGGCAAGTCTTTATGAACACAGAAAAAGGTGTCCAAGATCTACCCAGGTAGCATAGCGTAGCCTATCGAAGGGTTACAAAGATCAACTTATGAACTACATCAGCTGCATTTGTTAGTAAAGAATAATTAACCTTTAAAACGCATTTATCATAACTATTATCGGTGTAAAGACTCCTCTTGATAATTAATTCCATCAAATAACTCTTATTTTCGGTGTCTTAATTCCGTGAATAAGCGTGTTCCCATTGGTGCACAAAATGTGTTGAAGTCCATGTCGAGATAGTAAATCCAGGTGAAATTATATGGTTAATAGAGGATTAGAGAACGGATAATTGTCGGCCTTTGGGCGAACAGCTAAAACGGGATGTAGTGCAATGTAGCTCGGTGTAGCCGGCCATTAGCGCGCTATTAGCCGATGACGTGTACCCGTGTAAACAACCGTGTGCCTGTCTTCTCTCTGCTTCACACAACTTTTGTTTAAATCGCAGGACCTCTGATTATTCAAGGCCATTGGCCTATGGTTCTTTGGTCTGAAGCTGTAACGCCTAACCCCTTGGCTAGCGTTTTATCGTAGGGTCGGATCACCACGGTTTTCCTAAAGACCGAATTCTCTAATGTTTCGCTACAGATTAAGGGTACATCTGATTCTGACTATTTGGGACAAATAGGTTACATATCCCGGAACAGTTAGATTAACGTCGGTCTAGTGATTGTAATAATTACGAGTCATTTAAGCGTTGAAATGCTTACGAATTTCTGCACTTTGTTGGTTCTCATAAGTTTGCCATGTTTTGCAACCGTGGCCCGATAACGCTCAAGTTTGGAGGACGGCACAGTGACTAAACGTATCCTGCGAACGTCATCATCAGCTTTTAACTAAGTTGATACTTCTCCGTAATTAAACGACTACTTCCAGCATATAAGGGACTTCCAGGATAATTTGAGAAAGAAAAGGAGGCAAGAAGAGAAGACCACCGCTCGCAAACTCTCGGTTAAAGATCAACAACAAGATAATAGATAGATAATAGATAATAGAATCAAACGGGAATTTACTTTCCTATCTGAAACTATATCGTTGGACAATTTATGACAATAAAGTTAACTACTCGTCGGCAAAAACACACAACAGATGAGCTCTAGATCCAACCATTTACAAACATAACAGCCAGGTAGTTGTATGCAACGGAAATTGATCGTTACTTACAAATAACAAGCAAAACCCCGGCCAGCACAGAGGGATATTTTTAAGTTCACGATCAGTGTACGCTGTGGTACCAATTGCTATGTAAATCGCTAAAGCATATACAAGTTCTTGCAGTATAAGTTGAGTTTAGACGAGAGTAATGAAGGATTTGATTTGTTTAGATGATGGATTCGTCGTGTAAATAAGGCATGAGATGAAAAGCTAGGAAACACTGGACAGCCGTGTGATCAGATGCCCAACGGTTTCCAAATGGGCAGTATGCTTTCGTTCTGCTAGTGATATCCCAGGTTTGGTCGACACTTGGATTGTTGGATCCGTGTACTACTGATGAGACCAAACCAGGTTGAAACAGCTGTCCAATGCTTTTCAACTCATATCTCATCTACAGG